ATTTTTTATGTAGCTTTGAGTGCTCAGCACATGTGCAAATTAAGCCCCAGAGTAACATGCTGGACATCCAGAAAATGAATGGCACAGATTAAGTGACCACTTGGGAAAAGTTGGTGTAAGAGACTTACCTGCATCATGCAGAAACTCTGTGACAGAGGCTTCCTAGACCCAGTGCAGAATCCAATCCTAGTCCTTTTGCCAAGACATTTCCAGCACACCACCTTCCATTATCCGTCCAAGACTCCTTACCCTGTGAACCTAGGGCCTCTGCCTGGTGTGGCTGCTTATACCAGTCTGCCACCTCCTCAGCAGAGCACTGGGGCAGACATGGGCAGCCAGAACTCCCCAGCCAGGCCTAGCCACACACCCAGTCCCTGCCACCAGGGTAAGCTGGCCCTCTATCCCTTCCAGTATAAACCCCTGACCCAAAAGAGAAAGTGTCCAGGCAACAAGGTTCAACCTTGTAACTAGGTTGGTGTATGTTTTGCTTCTGCCTCTTTTGGCTCTCTGACAGATTTTCTGATTTGACTTCCCCTATCCTGAAAGACAGAATATAATGCTGACCCTATGTGGATGCCAGCTGAACCCAGCCCTATTTAAAAGCCACACAATGTCATCAGTGCCATGCTACCAACAGAGTCGCTAACCTTGATTTGAGCTGCCACCCAAGAGGAAATTTGCCCCCCCACCCAGAGGAGCAGGCTGCCCTCTCTTGACAGCCCCACCAGGTGTAGGAGGGGGCCACATTCACTTGGGGTAGGATCTAGGTGCCCTAGGTCTGGCCTGACTGACAGTGCTTCACGGAAGCCATGACTTGCTGGTAGCAGGCTACCCAGGAATGGAAAAAAAGCCTATTGATTGGTTGCCTGATACTTCTGGTGGCCATGCCTACATGAGACAGTCCAAAACTTTGTCTGCTTCTGTGATCATTGTGCCTGCACTGAAAGGCCCACACAGAAACCTTGTGGGCTCCTCCAGTCTCTTCCCATTCCCCCCTGACCTTGCTCCACTGTTTTGCTAGACTTTATTGTAGAGTGCCCACATCTAATGGATGCTCCACAATCCTGACAGTGGCAGATCAGTTAACCAAAACTTCCCATTTCTGCCCTCAGCTAAAAACACTGCCCAACTATGGCTAGATCATATGGTTCACCTTAATGGTCTCCCAGACTACATACCCTCCAGCCCCAGTTTCTTCCCTGATTTTGGCACAAGGCCCTGCACCTGATGGGGGCCATGTCCAGCTCTCATCCAGATACCACCCACAAACAAACGGTCAAGCTGAGAGAACAAATCAGATTCTAGAGCAGTACCTCCAATGTTACTTCAATTTCAAGCAGGACAACGCCCCCCCAAAGCACTCACAGAGTGTGCCTACAACAATTCTCCACGTTTCAAGTGGACAAAGCCTGTTCTTGGTTCCACTGCCAGTTACACCCTGCCTTACCCATCACTTCTGATAACCCTGTGGCTATAGACTGAGTATAACATATGCAAGATGTCCAAAAATTATTAAAATTCCATCTAGGAAAGGCAGAAAATGCATACAAATGACGTGCAGACCAATATCATTACCAGGGCCTGCTCACTCACAAGGACAAAAGGTTTGACCTCTACACCCAGCAGCCCTTACAGAAATTGGACCACAGGTGCATCAGCCCCTTCTGTATTGCCTGACAAATTAATTTGGTCACCTTCAAATTGCAACTACCACAAACACTGAAAATTGACCCGGTATTTCACATGTCCCTGTTTAAGCCCTACATGGAAAACTCTCTCCCTCACCAATCTCAACCTCCTCCACCACTCATAATGGTTCATGGCCAAGAAGAATACTTAGTACATGAAATTCTAGGCTCAAGGTGGAGGTGAGGAAAAATATATTACTTAATGGATTGGTGGGGGCTATGGGCCAGAGGAACACATATAGAAGCCGATAGAAAATGTCTATATACCCCAATCTGGTGCAAAAATTCTATGAGGACTGTCTAGGAAAGCCTGGAACAGCACCCCCTAGAAGGGGTCATTGGGGTGGGGGGTAATGTCTCAGGATACCTGACCTGGCTTCTCCATGAAACTCAACCTAGCTTTGGCTTGATCTCCTGTATACCTGACCTAGCTAGCCTCCTGACCCTGTGCCCTTCCCAACCCTCTGGATCTCTGACTCGGTTTCCTAGAGAGACCTGGCTTCTGGCTTTCCTACACTCAGACTATGCACATTCCCACTGGATCTTGGCTGCTTCTCCCAACCCTGCGTGACCCTCAGACCTGGCCAACCATTGTCCAGCATTACACTCAAACAGTAATACTTTCCTGTCCACACATATACCTGGTTCTCACTTCTCCAAATGTTGTCCAAGTTACCTTTCACCTAGTCTCTTCCTCTCACACACTGGATTCTAGTCCTAGCCTCTTTTCCAGTTGCAGCCTCCTTTGACTTCCAATTATAGTTTTTTCTTGCTTGTCAGTTCCAGTCTCCTCCAGACCTTTCCCAGATTTTAGCCCCGAGTTTTTTGCCAAATCAGTCTGAATCTTCCCTCTTCAGCTTCCAGTCTCAGTACAATCACCAACTCCCAGGACCTCTCCAGTCCCAGTCCCACTAGACTTTTTGCATCAGTGGATTTTCACCTCGAGTTTTATTCTTGTTTTGGGTTTTATTCTTGTTTCTTCTACCTTTGAGGCAGGTGGGTTTTGCCTCTAGACCAGGAGATCAGGTTAGACATTAAGTCCAGAAGCAATCTAAGCAATCTACACAATCTAATTTCAGCCATCTAAGAAGACTTCCATCCCATCCATGATGTTTGTCATGATTTGCTAATAAGACCTGGACTACAAAATACAGGCCTGATCCCACAGTCTAAGACTCCCACTGAAATACATGAGGGTAAGACCAAAGTTATTAGGACCCCAAAATAATTTTCTGTGTACTTCCTTATATATATGCCTTCATCCTGAAGTCCAAACATTTTGCTGGAGTTAGTACTCCAGGATTAGATCCTACATTTTTAGTAATATTTATTTTCATGCCATAGTCCAAAAAGCTGTAGTATTATCAGTGTTAATAGTTTCATTATTCAGTAATTTTAAAAAGTCATAATAGGTATTAAGTACTCTTCCATGGATTATTTCTCAGAACCATTTAGAAATACAGCCATCTATCCAGAGAAAGAAAACATATTAGTAGTAAGACATTAGCCTTGGCTTGACTTTTAAGGGACTGGACTTACTAAGTTAATCAGGTGCTTTTGAAAAATTCCCTTTTCTTGTCAGTAGGATTATGTTCTTAATTGTCTTTCTAGTTCTGGTGTGAATATTGTACCCATCAGTATGGGGCAAGGGTGACAGAGCGTGTCTACACGTCCACTTTAATGTATAGTAGCCTATTCTATTGCACATTCAAATGGTGTATAAGAAACCATGCTAATACACTAATGAGCAGCAGACTAGGCTACTGCACATTAAACATTTCTAAAAGCGTGCACTTTTGCTACTGTGCATTAGGGCAGCCTAATGCACATTTATGTATCTCACATTAGAGGTACTAAACTTAATGCACAATAGCAGAAGCGTGTTAATGTATGTATAAATGCACCCACTGAGAATTATTCCATTTTGAGATGTTTACGGAACTACCAGTAGTCTAAGTAGGGAGTACCTTTCAAATAAACAGATTTTTTCAAAAGCAGAACCTATTTTATCTTAGTCCTAACCCACATACATAGAAAAAACTACTCAAAAAGGCCAGTATTCTTTTTATTATTTCAGTTGGGTGTATCAAGGGAAATCAGTTTAATTATTATTAGGTTTTTTTCTTAGTAACTCTGCTGAAATAATGGTAAGAAAACAATTCCAATGAGATATGCAACCTCACTTTTGTTTTGAAGATGGGAGAATCTGGGCACATTTTGATTTTAGGTGGTCTGAATAGTTTTTCAAATAAAACTAGACAGTGTTTTAATCTTGAATCACTGAAACATACTTTTGTCTCCTACTTTCTGCTTTATCACAGCCAGGATCTTTCAATGTATGCAATATTTTGAAATATGCATTCTAAATAATAATAAGAATCTGAAACAAAAAAACCAAAGACATTTCCTCCTAAAATAGATGGTAACATCTAAAGTTTAAGAAATTGAGTTACATTTTATTTTTAGTTGAACTCTATAGCTTTGTTAAAAGCTACCATACGGTAATATTGATGATGACTTCCATTTTCCATGTAGAGTGTAAGACACATGTAGTGATCATGAAAACTAGATCTGGGCAAATAATTTACCCCCCCAAAAATTACCCACTGTATTATGCTCCTTTTAGGGTGATGAAACAGGTATGAGAAGATCAATCATGATTTCTTCCAAATTATGCAAAATGTAATTTACTCAGTGAGATTTTCTAAACCTATGTGACATGTTGCAAAATGTTCTTGGTAAGTATCAGATATTTGAGCTGCATGGGTAGCTACTGGCCAGAAATGTCACATGGTATAGTCTCTACTCTTTGACTGGCGGAGCATGCAAAAACTTTCAGTACAAATTATATATATGCATATATAATACAAGTTCTGAAAATATACCTGCATACAACTTTGAAATTCAATTTCCAGTCATACCTATAGCAGCAACATCAACTTATTTAAATGTTTGCAGAAGGCAAACCCACTAGGATATAAGTTTGCAACAGTGAATTCATTTTGAAATTCTGAGCATTCATATTTTTTACAGTATTTACCCAATTTTAATGGAAGCTGATGCCAAATCCTGACCTTATAGTAGCTTCTATTGTAAATTGTTGTAAACAGTACTGAATTTAAATTTGGTGCTGGGGAAGAGAATATTTTAACCAGCATGGTATATGAACCTAATAAACATTTTTCGAACAGAATTATTTCACTTTTATAATACATTGCTCTTGCTATTTTAGACAGCTGTATTCCTTTTGAATTTGGGGGGTATAATTGTAGGGAACATATGTACACAAACAGCTATTTCTGAACTACTGACCTTGTGATCTCAAAGAACTCCAGTTTCTCTCAGCAGATTTTAGACATCTGAAACCATGTTTTCAGTCTGTAGATATTTCCTTAATTTTTCCTTAAAAAAATGAAATTCATGTCTTATTACTGTTAAAACAATGCGAGCAAGAATCAACTGGCTTAGAAACATTTAGTATTCCTGAGTACTCTATTGGTAATATTTATATACTATCACAAAATACTTATTCAAGCAAGAATGCAAATCATCTTATTTGTGCATAAAGTCAATTAGGGAAAATAGATGCCTGAAAAGAGAGTAAGTCTCATCTATAAAAAAGTCATACAGATAATTGTAATAAAATATTTAACATTATACTGAATCGAATTCCAGTAAAACTTACATTTCAGAATGTAAAACGAATCATAGTAGGAACAATTGACCTAGATCAAAAATGGTTAAACAGATCTACAATTTATGGGCATGCTATTGGTACTCATTTGTTTTCCACTGAACCACTTCTTTATTAATATACTATGGAAAAATGAAGCATTTAAACAACTTTCCAAGGGATGTGGACTCACTATCAGCTGGAGTCTTTAAGGTAAGATTGGATGCCATCCTAAAAGATACATTGTGATGTAGGTTTGGGGAGAAATTTGTTGATCCATATGTGTGGGTGTAGGGAAGTATAGTAGTAGTGTTTCCTCCCAGTGTTCAGTTTTATGGATCCAAGTTCTCCATGCCTCCCCTTCCTATTACAGCCCTGAACAGAGCATTTATCACTCCAGATTAAGAAATCTATTTATTTAAGTCTCATGCTTGACATATTTTTACCCCATGCATAACTGAGCTCCTAGCTTACTTCTTCCCCTTCTACCCTGCTTTAGTGGTCTTTTCCACTAAAGCACCAGGCCTTTCTTGGAGAAGAATATTGAGTAAATGGGTTGGTAGGCTGGTGCTGTGAGGTTGCTACGTAGAGACCCCTTCATGTGCAAGCTGGTATATTCTAGGTATTTGCCCACGCGCAGACTGATTATCAATTTTGGGCTCAAGAAAAAAATTTCCCTGGGTCAGATTGGCAGGATGTTGAAAGTAGGATTTCCCTTCCCTCTGCAGCACAGGCCATCATTTACCAGCTGGGATCATCCAGATAAATCTGAGTCAGCCCCTTGCCAGTGAAAGTATGTGGACTATCTTCTCACAGTGGCAGATGTTTTTGTTTCTTAGGGTTGAAATATAATTAAAGTGTTTTCACTTTAGTTAGTGAATTTGAATGAAACCTAAGGGGCTATGATACAGTGGTCCCTTCTGCCATTAATTTCTATGAAATAGATTAACTCTATTAAACAGTACTCTTTTCTGCATTGAGGCAGTGTAGCCCTCATACAAGGACACCCAAGATGGTGCATATTTAAGTCACTTGCAGATGGCTGTTATCTCATTTGGGGTATTCAGTGAAGGAGCAAGTGGGTAGGAGTTGGTTCACTGCTCCTGGTCTTGGCCTGAGGGTGGTGTCAGTAGTTTTTCAGGACTGATTTGACCCCAGGTTATAAAACGTTATAGTCTGTGTACATTATACACTTAAATAATGCAATACTGTAATAATGCACAACTGTAATTAATTAAATTCTGTTGCATACTTACTGAGAATAAGTAATTACAAGTGACAGCAAAGGTGATACTGTTTGCCATCTCTAGTAACACTTTCTTTCACTTGAAATGTTGTGTCTGCCCAAAGATTTTAATCTCCTCTCCTTTCTCAAGTCAAAAAACTAATTACACGCATATACTAAGAAAAACTATGTAAGGTGAAAAATAATATTAATATTATTTAAATGTATATACTCCATGGAAAAATATCACAGAAGCTTTAGCACTCTCTTTGATAAAATGTAGGTCACTTATTTGGTTTCCATAGAAACCATAGCTGAACTATACCTCTACTGCTGACCATAGGCAATGGCTGCTTTCTTTGATAAGGGGTGAGGTTACAAATACAGCTACGCCTCACTTAATCACAACTAGCCAAAACAAGTGTTTTGAAGTAAGGATAGTGTTCTCAAAAGTCTCCAGTAATGCTGAGCTCAGTTATTTAGGAAAGTTTTGGAAATGTGAATCTTAATTAAGATGTATTGCTTCAACATCTACCTGAAATGGTCATTCAGTTCTATAAATATCTGGTAAGTGAGCCTGGTTCTGAGCAAGAGCTCAGAGACCCCGTGAGACAGGGAGTGCTTTCTTCTGTGGCATGGACATAGTTCTATAGGTTCTTCTGAGCATGTGTCAACCACCTGTTTCCTCTGAGTCAACTCAAATGTCTCCCAACAAGGATGTAACCATTTCTCATCATCCAGTCTTTTCCTAGTCAGAAGCTGTAATATGTCTAATTTGATAATACATCGAAGAACTCAGTGCTGGTTTTTAGTTTAGGTGGCAAAGACCATTCTGAGACCATAGCTCTGGATTAAGTTGAATTGGTTGTTATGACAGGGGATATTGCAAGGAGCTATAGATGCAATCCTTGTGCTTAGGGGAACACAGAAATTTCCCTCTCCATTTGTTTTTCAGGTAACAATATGGGACTTGGGCTCTCAGCTCTTTGGTACAAACCAAGAAGGCTGGGTTGAAATGCAGGTGAAAGAATGTTGCATCCTGTAGCTGTAGTGTAGTAAAGGATAAACTCTCCCTGCAGAGTAGTCAGTCAGAAAGCAATTGTGCAGAGTGACCAAAGCAGGGATCTGTAGTCATCTTGGAGCTTTCATGGGATAGATATAGTTCTCTTCTGCTCCTTACTTTGGGTTATGTACAATCTGTTTCATAGTTTCATAGTTTCATAGATTAAGGGTCGGAAGGGACCAAGTAGATCTTCTAGCCCGACCCCCCGCCAGGGCAGGAGAACAACAAAAACCCCAAAAACAAGAAACGGGACTCAAATGAGTCCAGCCAGGTAGGCATCCAGCCTCTTCTTAAAGACCCCCAGGGTAGGGGCCAGCACCACTTCCCTTGGAAGTTGGTTCCAGCTCCTAGCCGCCCTAACTGTGAAGTAGTT